AGACACAAATATATTAAGACTAATAAATTTTCAACCAGCACATTCATGGTGAGGGGGAAAACAGCATATAAGCAATTTTTTTTAATACTTCATATTATATTATTAGCTCTTCATTGATATAATAATAAATTGGTCTAATAGTTAAAATATTTATGAATTAAAAGAAAATATGAAATAAATAAAAAAAATTTGAAGCCTTGGTAAAAATAATTCTTTTTTTTTCGCCAACGCCTTGATAAAAATGTAAAAATTATAATAATATGAAAATATAATTATATATTCATAAAATTATAATCATAACAAGTCGTGGACAGTACTACGGATGTAAAACTTTTTTCTTGCCACCACCTAATACGCAGGTAAAACTAAGCAAGAAAAATACCGAAGTAATTAATTTAATTATTGAATATCTGATAGTTAAAATATTAAATTATGGATATAATTTATTAAATCTTTATTTTTTGTGATTTGAAACAAAATTGAAAAAGAAAGTGATTCCGAGGGCATCTGCGGAGCAGCCGAAGCTGAAACGTAGGGCAAAATAAAAGCACCGGAAACAACGAGAGCCATGCGCCTTAACTTGTAGAAGGCCCATGACTTGCCTACTTCCCGCACAACTGGGTTTCTGAGACTATCATTCTATCATTCTTCTTCTTCTTTCCATTTCTTCTTCGTCGTTAACCTTAGCCTCTCTTCAGTCTCATTTGGAACCTTCGGCGAGATTTTTACGATACAATGGCAAAGAGGAGTCGCTCCGAGAAAGGACTGCCACTTCAGAGCCAGAATCCCACAGTTGACGAGCCCACACGGATTCGACTTAACCAGATATTACAGGAGTTTAAGAACTCTAATGAAAAAGGTATTTCTGGATCTTCGAATGCCCCATGATTTGGTGTTGTATGCATTTGTTGTGGGATGCAGATACGTGATGTGGGATCTGTCTTGCGTATGGTTTGAGATAAGAAATGGACGACCTTGATTATTGGTTATATGATTTGTAATTTCTTTCTTTCGTAATTTATTCTTTATAGGTTCATGAATTATGTTAAAACGGCCTATCAAAAGTGATTCTATTCTGTCTCTTACGTTCGCATGGTTTGCTTAGTTTCCTTCTATGTTTCTGACTGAGTTTATCTATTCTTACAATCCGCAGAATACAAGTTTGATGCCACTTTATCCAAAAATGAACGTGCTTTAGTGCACCAAATATCCCAAAAAATGGGTATGAAATCCAAAAGTTCTGGGTGAGTGTTACTGACATTATTTGTTAGATTTTACATTTCAGGCTGCAAGAATTGTATTCTCTGTTTTCTCTCCATTGATATTGGCGCTATTTTCACGTTCTTACGTTCAATTTGCTCTTTATTTTCTCTTTTATGGATTCTACGTTTTGTACAGGACAGCAAAACAACGTCAAATATCCGTCTTCAAAACTGTACATAAGGTTGACGCTGATACAGGATTAGAAAATCTTCCGTATTTTGCATTTTCCGAAGAGGCACAAGCGGTACTAGGGGTTCTATATGCCCATCATCCACCTGGTGATGGACAGTTGGTGGAAGAGATGGATAGAAGACATAATGACAAAACTGATAAAACAAGACAAATTAAAGATGATACTTTCAGCAAGCCATCCATGAGCAAAGCTGAAATCAGTGAGAAATTGGAAGCATTTTCTTCTAGAATGAACAAAACCCCCGCCAAACGAAAGGTTCTATTATTTCTTTTCCGCATGTTAAGACCTTTATGAATTCCATCGAGTACATGACATGTTGTTACTCTTCTTCCTGCATTATTTGCAGTGCTTGCTAAATAATAGTCCTGCCAATGAATGGTTTGTTTGAATTCTGATTTTGCAGATCACAGCACAGAGGTCTAAGCTTCCAATTGCAGCATTCAAGGATGTGATCACATCAACTGTCGAATCTCACCAGGTTATTCAAATGTTTTGACCTGAGTCTTTTTTATTTTTTCAAATCTTGATTGCAGATTGCTATATGATTAAGCACTGAAAAAAGTTCATCGATATTTTAACTATTTACATCCAGTGGGTTAATGTGTTGGTTATTAACCCTTCAACATAATTATCCAGCCAAATATGAAAGTTAGATTTCTTCTTTTCTTTGGTCTCATGGTTCTCTTCATGCGTTTTAAAGCAGGTAGTTCTCATATCCGGTGAGACTGGTTGTGGAAAGACCACACAGGTTATAATTCTTTACTTTATCTCAATTCTGCCACAACCACATATAGTATATAATTTGTCACCCTCTTTCAAAACATTTTTTTTTTCGTTTATATTCTTGTGATTTTATCATCTAAGATATAATTTTGTGGTGTGAATGGTCCCCCCCTTTTTCTTCAAGCTGTTCTTTTCTTTGCGCTAGGAAGTAAGTTAATGAAACTGTTGCACTATATTATCTTAAAATGATGTCTAAGGTCTCTTTGACATCATATTTGTCTAGTTGAAGCTTAGTTTTCATCTTATAATTTGGATTTGTTCTTCGCTGTTTGATTATCATGGTCATTTGACCTATTGGAGGTATATATGATCAGACTACACATAAGCGGTTCAACCAATCTCTTTCAATGTGTCTTGGATTGCTTGAGTTGATGGGTGCTATAGAATGTATGAACTTATTTTGGGAATAAAACACTTGAAGCTGTTCCTTTTCCCCTTTTTTTTTTCCCCAATTATAGAATTCTGCATAGAAAGAGACAGGAGTAGCCAATTGGAACTATGAATAACGATAGACAATCAACTAAGGAAAGGAAGAAAGCATATGCTTCGAAAGCTATAGCTCATTACACAGAACTAGTAAGCCATAATTGCTGTGTATCTAGACAAGGACAGACAATCAAAATGCATAGGAAGTGATAAATTAAGTGTCAGAATGTGGTCAGGTGGTTTGGACAGCTTCTTTTGCTAATTGACAAAAATCATGAGGTATTACGTCATTGTTTGTTCACCTTGGGCAATGGAATGTAATGGGATGTGGATATAATTGATTTCTGGAGAAAATTGAGATGATGAGGCAGCAGTGAGTTGTAAGCTGAAGATCTGGAAATGGGCTGTATTTCGGACTTACTGCTTAGGACCACTTGGCCTTTGGGAGTTTTACGAATCTATGAGGATATTGGTTCCATAACTCGAGGGGATGATGCAGGCAAAACTGTGTTCTCTCATGCTTTATAATACGTGTGTATCTTATACATTTTGAACAGCAAGTTTGGTTTGGATATTTCCCCCCAAACACAACTGACTGAACTGATTGGTTCATACATAGAAAAAACTTAAGCAAACCAATATTAATATGTTTAGATTAGCTTTTGAGGTGCTTGGTTTGATGAGTCTTGATCGATTTAGAACACTCTTGTAGGGAATGATAACGAGTAGTGTGGGAACTTAATTTGGTCTCAGATGGGTGATAGGAACAAGATTAGGTAGTTTAAAGTTGGAGGGATTAGTGTGCATCTTGGACTCTTGGCAAGTAATTACTCCCTCCGTTCCTTATTATAAGAGACATTTGATGCTTATGGTATGTTCCTATATATAAGAGACACTTAAAAGTTGTTTCTACCTTTTTGTGTTGATTTCCTATTTTACCCATATTTATTATCTCCAACTCACACTCTCTCTCCTTCCCACTTCTCTTTCTTTTAATAATTTAATTGTTCTCTCACATGCTCTCTCTCCTTATTAATGAGGGCATTTTTGGAAAAAAGATTATACTTTTTACACATTGATTGTTCTTAACTAATTTTAACTGTTTTTTCTATCAACGTAATTCGGTTATTCGTCTCTTATAATAAGGAACGGAGGGAGTATCAATTTATAATCTTGTGCGTTTTTGTTGGTGTTTGAAAAATCGGTTTTTGAATTTTACTAGTTCCTATATACTGCCATAGCTGTTATGATTAACTTCATATTGGGCTTGTGTGGTTAAAATTGTGGATGTGCTACGACGTTCTTGATATTTCATGATCTTGGGTTTGACTGACTCAGATACTTTCATCTCTTTGAACATGCAAGGATCTCCTAAGCTTTGTGAAACATTATCCATTTTCTGTGATTGTCATGTTTATCTTAATATTAATTGTGATTCAGGTCCCACAATATATTTTGGATCATGCGTGGGGTAAGGGTGAGGCATGTAAAATAGTTTGCACTCAACCTCGACGTATCTCTGCAATGTCAGGTCTGCAACTCATGCACAATAGTTACACATTTATGTATTCGTACGTGTTGATTTACAATCTTGATTCACGTGTGAAATATTTTCATCTTGTTTTGGTATGCAGTTGCTGAGAGAATTGCTAGTGAGAGAGGTGAGACCATTGGAGAAAATATTGGTTATAAGGTATTTCTTTGTTGATGTATGTGTCAAGTTCATCTTGTTTTGGATTCAATGATTGCATGGGAATATTGGTTTTGAACATTTTTAAGATTGGATCTGTACTGCTTCAAGTGAAGCACACGTACATGCATGCATGAAATGGTGTATATCCCTTTTAATTATAGATTTTCCAGGATTTCAAGGTCATATTGAAGGTTTACAAGTGGCTATTGCACTCGAAAGTTTCCATTATATTACAAAATTAACATATGCAATGATTTTCAAATATAATAAGTCATTAACTTGATTGCTTGCTTTATCATGTGTTATCAATATGGTAATTATTTCTAGTTTAATGTTCGGGTTAATGAATATTACACACTGTGGTGCGATTTCAAGCTGTGAACCATGGAAGAGTGTCTGGCCTTTTATGAGTGCGCACATCACATGATAACATAGTAGTAATTATGCTTTCCGAAATTGAAATCTAGATACGGTTGGAAAGCAAAGGTGGAAAGAATTCATCAGTCGTGCTATGTACAACTGGAATTTTGCTGAGGGTCCTGTGCTCGTTTTCCAAATGTTTGAGTAGATCAAATACAGGAACCATGAAGAATAATGAATTCGAGATCACTCACATAATTATGGTACTTCTCTTACTTTGATTTACTTGATTTTTTACAGCTAGAAGCAGAATGCATGTTTGTGGCTCTCAATCTTGCTTGTACTTTTTCGCCTTAAAAAAATTGTGCGAAACAGGATTCTATGCTTATCTCCTGTTGCCCTGCCAAACTGTGCCTCCCCATACTTGCATGGACCCTGTAATCCCACATGGTCAAACTGTTTAGTCCTGTGCCCCCAAAACTGCATGCTCTAACAACTGAAATTCATTAAGGAGATACCTAAATACTGATACCGATTATAGAGCCAGAGTTCACCATTAAAGCTTTGTTGCAGGACATTATATTAGAAGCAGAGCTTAGTCATTATTGCTTTGTTTAAGGGTATTTATGCCTTATGTATTCTTGATAAACCAGCGTTTAGCACAGGTTTAGAAGGATCTCTAGCAATTGGCATGTAACTATAATGCTTCTATAAATAAAAGCGTGATCTTTCTCACTCTACAACTCTGCTCCATAAAGTGTATTTGAATGTCTCATTATATATTCGTTTGGAGCCTTATGATACAATGAGTAATGTGAATACATGTTTTGTTTCCTTGCCTTCGCAAAACCTGATAAATTTCATTGCATATTCAGGATGAAATTCATGAAAGGGATCGGTACTCAGACTTCATGATGGCAGTTGTTAGGTACAACGTGATGGAACATCTGAACTCTAGTGTATATTTTTCTGAAATAGATAATTTAGAGCAAAGTTGACTTGTAGGTCATAATTTGCAGCACTTATTTAAAACTGATATTGAATGTTCACCTTTTTTGAATTTTAAATAACAACTGCTGGGATGATTTTTTTTTTTTCCCTTTCTTCTCTAACACGGTTTATTATTGCTGTTTTTTCCTGTTTTTCTGCAAGATGATTCCTTTCTTTTCATGCTTTTCATCATTTGCCTTGGATTTTCTTGGGGAATGGATTAGCTTTTTACCATCTATTTTCTCTTCTGAAATATTTTTTATACAAAAAAATGAGATATTATTAATCCCCAAACAATGTGATCTAATCTCTGTTGCCCCATCAAGAATGATTTTTGAAAGGTGATATCTTGAGATGAACATGTTTGAAGCTTTACATTTGATCCCAAGATCTATGTTCATTGACTAAATGAAGATATGCCATTTACAATGTTTTTCTTACATGATATTTGGATTAATACATTTGCTCCAATGCAACTTACATGCAGAGACATGCTCCCTTCACACCCACACCTTCGCCTGGTTAGTTTGAAGTTCTTGTATTTATATTTATTTCCTTATTTCACTGTCATTCAGTCAAGGGATGCTTTGATTTACTGAAAATTCCCCCCCACCCTGGGTTTTCTTAATATATTTGAACTTCATCCCTTCCCTCAATTTTTCAGATACTAATGAGTGCTACCATTGACGCTGAAAGATTTTCCCAATATTTTGGTGGCTGCCCAGTTATCCTTGTTCCGGGGTTTACTCATCCGGTATCTATATGGTTCTAGATTGTGATTTGACTTTTTTTCCAGTGACATTTTTTCATAAATTTCTGTGCTCTTTCTTCAGGTCAGAACTTTCTATCTGGAGGATGTTCTTTCTATTGTCAAATACAAAAAAGAAAATCATCTTGATAATGCTTTATTAAATAATGTGACTGACAACAATGATTTAAGCAAGGATGATAAAGTTTCTCTTGATGAAGCTATTCATTTGGCTTGGTCCAATGATGACTGCGATCCTCTCTTGGAGCTGGTTACTTCTAAAGGATCCCCAAAGATCTTTAATTACCAGCATTCATTGACTGGCCTTACACCATTAATGGTGTTTGCTGGAAAAGGAAGAGTGGGTGATATGTGTGTGCTGTTATCCTTTGGGGCAGACTGCCATTTAAGATCCAAAGCAGGAGTGACGGCACTGGAGATTGCTGAGCAGGAAAATCAGCGGGAAACTGCAGAAATTTTAAAGAAACACAGAGATTCTGCATCTTCAAACTCCATGGAAGGGCAGAAGTTACTTGATAAATATCTTACAACAGTCAACCCTGAAATTGTCGATGTTGTTCTGATAGAGCAGCTGATACGAAAAATATGTATGGACTCAAAGGATGGAGGAATCCTTGTTTTCCTTCCAGGTTGGGATGAAATAAATAGAACTCGTGAAAGATTACTCCAATCCCCATTTTTCAATAATTCAAGGTTTACCATTATGTCTCTGCATTCAATGGTTCCAGCAAAGGAGCAAAAGAAGGTTTTTTTGCACCCACCTCCTGGTTGCCGCAAAATTGTTCTTTCAACCAATATTGCTGAGACTGCCATAACTATTGATGATATTGTCTATGTCATAGACACTGGGCGGATGAAAGAAAAAAGTTATGATCCATATAGTAATGTTCAAACTCTTCAATCATCTTGGGTTTCAAAGGCAAGTGCTAAGCAACGTGAAGGGCGTGCTGGCCGCTGTCAGCCTGGAATTTGCTATCATTTGTATTCTAAGTATCGAGCGGCTTCCTTGCCCGATTTTCAGGTTCCTGAATTAAGAAGAATGCCTATTGAAGAGCTTTGTCTGCAGGTACTACTTTTCTCCCTCTAGTGATAGAAATTCAATGATAATGTGGGAGACTACTCCCAAAATATTGTAATGATGAAAATTGTGAGTGACCTTGAATTCAGCATATTTTTATACTACATTGAATCAGTTGGCTTGACTAATTTTCCTGTTTTAAAATTGTATCTATCACTGTTCATTTACAGAATTTTTTGTTTGGAGTGATTGAAAACAATGATGCCTTAACCGGTTGTTCATTATTGAATAGTGGAAAAAAAATTTAAATTGTATAAGGAAAAAATAAGAAACAAACTTATCGGCAAAAGTACACTTTTGGTTTTCTAACTTTATACAAGATTTCAGTTTGTCTCTTGATTTTATAGTGTTTTTTCAGTTCTCTAACCCTAATACCATTTGTCTCATGTGATGATTTTTTTCATGCCAATTATTGTTATTTTAAAGAATCAAACTTAATATCTCAACATTTGTGAATGTTTTATCAACATTTAAAATTTCAATATCAACATTTTTTATTAACATTGTTTGGGTTAAAGAATGACTCCTTTGGTCCTATTTATAGGGCAGAGAGAGAATTTTCACATGAATGTACAACTTTACTCTTCATTTATTATTGTGGTAACTTTGTTCTCATAAGGTATATTGTATATTAAATAGGGATAAAGTTAGAAAGTTGTTAAATTTTAAATGAGAGTTAATGAAGTTTAAGGTTTTTATTGATCTGTGTGAAACATGTTGGAAGTGACTTATAAATAGAACCAAAAGAGTAAAAAGACATTTTATAAAATTAAAAGGCCAGAATATATCTTATGTAAAGTTAAAGGACCAAAAATATATTTGTCCAAACTTATCAGTGGGGGGTAAATCATTTTTGGATTTATTTTTTGCTTTGGGGAACAAAGCTTGTTATTATTATCGTCAGGGCCTTTTTGTCATGGGAAAAAATTGCAGTAAATAAATTGATTTTATATAAATGACCTATTTCCTTGTGTTGCTATTGTTTACTGCTTGTTTTGCCTCAGGTGAAAATGATTGATCCAAGCTGCAAGTTAGAAGAATATTTATCGAAGACACTAGATCCTCCTGTTTTTGAGTCTATACGAAATGCCGTCGCAGCTCTTCAAGATATTGGGGCATTATCAATTGATGAAGAGCTCACGGAGTTAGGAGAGAAGCTTGGCTCTCTTCCTGTTCACCCCTTAACATGCAAGTTAATTTTCTTCGCTATATTGATGAATTGCCTTGATCCAGCATTAACTCTAGCATGTGCTTCTGATTATAGAGACCCATTCACCATTCCCTTGTCGCTTGGGGAAAAGAGGCTAGCTGCAGATGCGAAGGCTGAGCTTGCTTCTTTGTATGGGGGGTATGGTGATCAACTTGCTGTAATAGCTGCATTTGAATGTTGGCATAATGCAAGAACAATGGGTCTAGAGTCATGGTTTTCTTCTCAATACTTCGTGTCCCTCACCACAATGCATATGTTACATGGCATGCGGAGACAACTCCAAACTGAATTGATTCGAAGTGGGCTTATTCAAGGTGATGTTTCAAGATACAATGTTAATTCACACAACCCTGGTATACTCCATGCAGTATTGGTTGCAGGTTTGTATCCAATGGTTGGAACATTGATTACGCCCAAAGGTGCAAAGAGAGTTGTTGTGGAGACTGCTAGTGGTCATAAAGTTCGGTTGCATCAACACTCTGTAAATTATAAGTTGCAGTCAAAGGTAGCTGTTGGCCGCCCATTAGTCGTGTTGGATGAGATTACCCGTGGTGATGGTGGTAGTATGTGCACAAGAAACTGTACGCTTGTTGGATCACTTCCGCTCTTACTGCTTTCAGGAGAGATTGCTGTTGCTCCAGCAGAGGATAATATTGATGACCCCAATGGTGAGGATGATGACGAAGGTAGTGAATCTGATGGTGCGACTGAAGATGACATTGAGTTCGATAACAAGCCCGGTGAGCATTGTGAAAATAAGTCCTGTGAACAGGGTGAAGATAAGGTGATGTCTTCTCCGGATAATGCAGTTAGAGTCATCATGGATCGATGGCTTTATTTTGAATCAAGGGCACTGGATGTTGCGCAGTTATATTGCTTGAGGGAGCGATTGTCAGCAGCAATATTACACAAAGTAAGTTTCCTCATTACTACTTTAATTGAAAGTCAACCTCAATTGGACCAGGTTGGTCCAGACCAAAAAATCATGATAAGGTCAAATGTTGCAGGTTATGGCCGCACCTGGCCTGATTTTAATAAAAAGAGTTATAGACTAATGAATTTTTTTTTTTAGGGAAAAAAATGCAGTTTTATATGATTCATGCACAAATTTTACTTTTTTAGATGTTTTTGTTTTGAAAAATAAGGAGAGGTCTGGCCTAACCTGGCCCCACCAGGGCAGAGGCTTCAAGTCAGAATCCGGGACCTCTTCTTAGACTTATCTGGCCCATAAACACTTCTGGTTATGCAATTCCAATTACAAGTTGATGATTCTCTTCTCTACATGACACATTGATTTGATATGTGTAGGTATCACATCCCAGGGAACCCCTTCCTCCCGCATTAGAAGCCTCTGTAAATGCTATAGTGCACATTCTGTCTAGTGATGGTCTCTTAGGCATGCCAGATCAGTTCTCAAAGAGTGGTGGCGCAATGGCAAGTCTTGAGGTTCCACTGGTTTCTGCTCAAACTCAAACAAGCCAAAAGAAATCTCTCTCTCTTTCTTCATGCCGTCCTTCAAATGGGAATTTGGAGAATCATGCACCAAATAGCCAACATGTATCCTCTCGCAGGTGAAAATGGAGGTGGAATCTTTTTGGGATGGTGATTGGATATTTTGATCACAGGAATATCTGTATTTCCTCTTGCTGCATGCCGTTCCTCAAATGGGAATTTGGAGAATCATGCCCCAGATAGCCGACTTTTAACTCGCAAGTGAAGATGGAGGTGGGATCTTTTTGGGATGGTGATTTGATATTTTGGTTACGGGAACATCTGTAGGGACATTGAACTGTTGTTAACTAGCTAGTTTTAACATGGACTCTTTGGTCAGAAAATGTTATACAAATTCAATCATACGTGAAAGTTTCAGTCAGGGTCCCACATAAATTTTACATTGATCCCCTCTTTCTTTTGGCCAGACACTGATCCTCTCTCTCTCTCTCTCTCTCTCTCAAACTGCTATTAATCTGCCATGGTATCAGAATCCGCTATTGTGACATTCGACGTGAAGCGCCAGAAATATAGGCTGTCCTGTGTAAGAAACAACCGTTTCACAACCTGGTAGGCCTTGACTCTCAATTTTACAGAAAGAAGGCGGAAAAAAGAAGAACAAAAAAAAAAGAACCATGTCATTTATCAACATTTGATGAATAGGAAGAGGCACATAAAGCATCTTTACATCTTCAATGTTTTTTTTTTTAGCCGCCTGAACATCTTCGATCCTGTCCCCGTATCCCTCCAAGCTTTCAATTTTAGTAAGAATTTAACCGCTACACTCCTAATTATTCTAGAAGTTATGTATTAAACATTTAATCATTATAATGTGGGTGTTTAGATGAAATCAAAATTATAATTTTAAAAATGATTTTACGATATACATATACAAAGTAAAAAGCACTTTTCTTGATACACGCTTATTTACACCAACTGCCTGATATTAGACCAAGTTGAATTGGTTGTTTCCAACATTGACAAATATGAAAAGAGAACCACTAAAGAATACTCTGGTTCTGTCACCCAAAATAAAAAAAGGAAAAGTCTCGTTCCAAATCTCAGGAACTTGGATTAAAAATGATAAATTACACGCATGTAGTGAGGGCTATGTTTTATTTAATTATGCTAATATACTAAAAGGCAAAAGTGTATCTTTAGTCATCTAACTTCAAAGATTTTATTTTGATCCGTTAATCTTATAAAGTATTTTTTTAGTCCTCTGGTCATAATATATTGAGTCTCAAATGATAATTTTTTTATACCAATCATTATTATTTTAAAAGAATTAAATTTAATGTAACATTTAACGATATTTTGTTGACATTTTAAATTTTAATGTCAATATTTTTTGTTAATAAAACTTGCCACCAGGTAGCCATAGTAGAGAAGGGCTTGAAAATGTTAAAAGCCCTTGGCAGAAAGAGTAATGTCCAACGCTCACCAACATAAAAGGGTAATCAAGGTAATTATTAATCAATGAATATAAATACTATTGATATGTAGCATTAAAAATAAGAGATAGAGACTAAGATTACACCTGAAAAAAATTATTAAAAAAGTATTTAATATAGATAGAGACTACGATTGCAACTGAAAAAAATTATTAAAAAAATATTTAATATACGAAATTGTTTGTTATATTTGAATATTTTTATAAGGGCTTAACAAGCACTATGGTAGAAATAGTAATGCTCATCGTTCACCCATACAAAGAGTAGTCAAGGTAATCATTAATCAACCAGAAGATAGGTCCCGTTTGATATGTAATATTAAAAATGAAAAATAAGAATTACAATTACAATTAAAAATCATTAAAAAAGATTTAACATGAAAAATTGCTTGTTATGTGAAAATAGGATTAGGAAATACTACCTCCTCCCATGACATTCTCTAATCCCACATAAATAGGTTCGTTCAATTCTATGTAACAAGCAATCTCTCATACTAAACACTCTTATAATATATTTTCTCAATTTCAATTTCAATTCTTATTCCTTATTTTCAATGTTTCATATTGAACATGACCATAATATTTGATAAGGAACAATGGGTCCTCCACTCAAAAGACTAGATGTCGAGAGGCACCATATTTAGAAGTCTTTTCAAGTGCGCACAATTTTGAATTCCTTCGTAGGCGACATTGGTCAGTAAGTGAACTACTTACATAACCAAATGAAATCTTCATTAGCAATAAGAAAACTCAATTTCAACACAATTGAGAACTAGGCATTGAATTAACTGAAACTCAGTCATCTTCCAGGTCGAAATTAATGACTTCCCCCAACAGTTTAAACACTTCGCACTGGGATATTCATTATGGCCGTTAATGCAGGCTCTGCTAAAGCTAAGTTTATAGTGACAAGAGAACGAACAAGTATGCTCAGGCCGAAAGGGGGGAAAACCTCGACCTTTTCCGAAAACGGGGCCAATTTAATTAAGAACATAAAAAGGTAGAACTAACATTTATACAATGGCTGAGATTCACAGGGGATCCAAGCACCATTTGTGGTTTGTGCTTCATCTTTCGGTGCACATGTAATTTAAACAGGAAGAAGATGATGCACAGAGACAAAGGTAAGCTGGGGTTATCAACAGTGGGAAACTATACTTTTGCTTTCGAAAAAAATTCACCAATAATCTTCTGAATTTTACTGCCTTTTCGCCAATGTCTTCCTCAGTCCTTTGATGATCTTTGAAAACCATGCCAAGTTCATGATAGCTAGCACTACCGGCACAAGTAGTACTAATAATTGCCCCATGGTATGCATTCTCTTAACCTGTTGGTTAATTAAACAATGATGCGTAAGAATATCTAAATTATATCATCTATATTATTGCATTTAGAAAGACAAGAATACCAAAAGGAACACACGCACACGCACACAGTTTCATGCGCCGCCTTCACATCTAAAACCTTTTTTCTCATTATCTCTTCATAAATGCACTATATACATTCATTTTTGCGAATGTAGAAAAACCAGGTTGAAGCATATCATGATTGACTTTACTGAATCTAGGAATCTTTCATAAATTGGGTTTACCAAAGAATCTCTCTGGTATTAGTTACAAACACGTTATGAATATAAACTCAGTATCTGCCTTGACTAAACCAATCAAATCATTATCTGCTCCAATTATATAGTCAGCATCTGCCCTGAACGAGTGATCACTATCTAACAGAAGTTTACCAATTCATTTTGGTGTATTTTGGCCTCCCTTAAGCTATAATTTTCATTACCCATGTTTTCACATGATGCATTCACTATGACAGCTCTTGAACATTTGGGAAACAATGTGACCCTAAAACTTCGGACCAAAAAATAGAAACTCAAGATCTGATTGTTATAACACATCACACACCCCACTTAATGTTTGAAATTCTGTGTTATATTACCTGGTCAAAGTGCAAGTATACATGGTAGAACATGTAAATGAACAGAAGTATTCTGGCAACCTGCAGATAGAACATCTCAGTAAGGATGTACAAGAATAAGGATTTTTATGTTTTACATAATGATATTTCAAAACAGGATCAGACGAACACAAATATATTCCAAGTTGCAACGAATTAACCCACCAGCCATGCAAAGAATATCACAACCCCATTTACAAGATAAGCTCTGGATCTTTTCATTCCAGCTGCATCAAGATACCTGAGAAAATGCAAGGTGTGAATTAGCAAAAACAATTATTTGATAACTTTAATTGTGCTAAAATATTAGATTAGGATTACCATCTCAAGTTTATCCCTGGAGTTGTTGTCTCAGACACAAGGACCATGTAAGTATAAAGCTGTCCCTCTCCACTCAACATTGCATATGCTACTGCTACCAAGGAGATTAGATGATGAATCACCTGAACCAAAGTTGATATGAACATGAGTTAAATCCTAACCACAACCGAAAGAAAACATGAGGGTGAGGGAACAAAACTCGGCTCAATAGTCATGCCCAGTTGGGTTCATATCACTTGAAATGACTTAAATTGTACATTCTCAACTTAATAATAAAGTATAGCCTTATATTCTTTTGAAGTTAGAAGATATTATCCTTACATACTCATATCCACCAAGAGAAGGATAAAACCAAAATATCATCCCAAGGTCAACAATGAAGTATCCAACAGAAATCTGCAACAAGTTAAAACATAAAAAGGCTTTTAGAACAGCATATATCGCACAATACAGACAATAAACATAGAAAATAAATAAATTAGATTGTTAGAATGTACACAAATGAAGTAGCCAGAACCCTTGGGCAAAAATTTACAGCTAAAAGGTCCTGAACATCAAGCAGAACAAATGCATTCTGATTTCAGTCACTGATTTACACTAAGTAAAACTTCCCATCCAAACTATCTATAGAAAAGGTTAGCTACATGTGTATTATTATTATCAACGATTTCCACAAGTGGTCAAATTAATTCTAGAAGAGCTACATATCCCAGGAACCTTGACATAAATAAATGCATTCAGAGTTAAAAACTTATTACTTCTCAACACATTTTGTTTTCAAATTGAAAAATTCACGTACTGGTTCTTCAATACGCAGTATGGTAGAATATCCAGGTGGTATTTTCTATTTACAAATCTTGTCAACCTTGGTTCCATAGTAGCAAGTCGTAAAGATGGGAATAGATTCATCATTCACAACCACCAATGAAAGATTCCTCAAGAAGTTAAACAATTCATTTAATCTCCGCTGGTCATGTGAAATCAAGAGGGAAGTCATTTAAAAGGCATAGGCACATGAGCCAGAAAGAAGGAAGCTGATTTCATGATGATTGGGCAGTCAAGAGGTGATAACTTTCCCTTTTCATGTACATAATTGCCTATAATCCAATCACAATCTCCATTCCACTTTTTTCACTCTCTAAGCCAGCAGAAGCCCTAAGCTCCTTTAATTAACATAGACGGTAGCAAGAGACGCAAAAAATGGTTATCCCATATCAGCTTAGTGTGAGACACAGAACTCCTATACAAAGCAAAGTTCAGCCTTGTCGCTAAAATAACTTCTAGGAGTGGGTTCTCCTCTACATCAAAAAGGCAGAGCTCTCAACCTCTCATAATCTCAACCAATTATTTCATTGTATTTCTAGTAGATCTCAGTCATCCAAAGCAATTGGAATAACGTGACATATCAAATAAATTAAAATATAACCTAAGCGTGACAGACAGGAGAAAGGAGATCATAAAAGAGAATGCAAAAGACACATAACATAAACTAAATACTGCGCATTAGCAAAAATGGGGCAGGTTTCAAGAGCTAAAAGCTGATGCTTGGACTTAAACTTCTTCTCAGATGGCCCTCCACCAAGGACTTCAGCATTTCAGATTGGTTTGTGAGAGTCTAGAAGATGCTTTCCCCTGATTTATCCAGATTTTTGCATGAAAATCCTAAACTCCATCAAAATAAAGGTTTGAGAAGGCTTACCCATCAATGCAAGTCCCTATTGCACTTGGCCAAAAAGAATGATAAATGCATTTATAACGCAATAGTCCTATCAGAAATCTATAAATTGTTTTACTTGACGAGTATACGCACTTCAAAATAAGAAGATAGCATCTCTATATTGATCCATTAGTCCGACATCTAAGTAATGGAGGGACATCATTATAATCTAGTTTCTTTAGTTCTGATTCCCTGAATTGGCATGGCTCAACATGATTTCTCGCTTATCATCTAGTTATACAAGTATCCTCACTGTTTATGGTATTAGTGTGTCACCTTACAGTATTGGTGTTACACGCCAGCTTTTGAGTCATTTATCATTCCACAATATTTCTCAACAAAAAATCAATGGTAGTCAGTATACCACAAATTACCAAAAACCTGCATAGCATGCACTACTATTAAATAAATAAAAGCCAACTCATTACACTTTATTAGGCGAACAAGATTTATAGAAATGACTTTAAAATTAAAATAGATATTTCTATATGCGATTATGGTTTTTGGAAGCATAGATCACAAGATGGACAAAAGATACAAGTAAGGAGAAGAGGAAATCCTCATAATGTATCTATCAACTTTATTTCATCCGAAAATTACTTATTTTGTGTTTAAAACAACAGACATATTCTAAAATATTATTGACTTCGAATTGTTTGTGTTGATAAAAGTAGGCATGTTTAAACAAGACATGTTTACTATCAAGGACTCTATCCTTCAAACCATGCAAATCCTCTATACCACCACAACTCACAAGCTGTATGACTTTGATTAAGGAATTACTCAACTCGTGCGTTACACCCTTGATCTACTTCACATGACAGTTGTATTAAAGGGGGGAAATCCAATAGGAACTTCAAAGGGATAAGAGAACAACAAAAAGAACCAAAGCATTCTTACCCCCAGCCCAAATGTAGACAATGGAGATGTTCGAACGGTGAGGTCAGTGAATTGGTTCTCAGAATATAGACTTGAGCAAAATACAAAGTACAAAGACATAGTCGTAATGAAAATGGCATGAACAGTTGATATAGCACTGCAAAAGAACAAACGAATCTTCATTAATATCTTAAACCGTGAAAAAAAAATGATAGAGCTTTGAGAGAATAGAAGATCCAGTCACCGGTTATTCCACTCAATACGTTGGATTTTTGAAAGGCTTGAATAGCTCTTAAAGTAAACTGTACTGATCAGCTGTGTAAGATCATAGACCTGAAAGACAACAACTAAGAGATAAACATAAGATCATAAAATAAAATACATATTACAACATCATTGAGATTAGAATGACTTTATAACGCCATAAGAGCATAGTTAGAATAACAATATACCATCTTGCAAGTGAAAATGCCACCAACAATTGAAGTATATGGAATCAGAGGGTCAGCTAGTAAATATTCCTTCACAAATAATTCAGCCTGACTCTGATATGACTTAAATGCCATCATTTCTTTAGAACTCAGCATCGCACCTCCAGCCTTGGTCGATAAGTCTTCTAAAGATTGTACGTGCTTGTTTGCACTCACCTTTTCTCGAGTTCCCTATAACATGATTTAATACAAGCTTCAGGAGAAGATACAAAAAGCTTGCAGCTATAGATAAATGCCAGCATGATTTGGCTAGACTTTGAATGGTATTTGGCTTAGACAAGAAAAATCATTACTGAGTCGTCGCATTATATTGGGGCAAATAACGTGAAACAACAGCATTAACCATAGGCTTGATAAATTCAACAAAAGTAGGATTTTGCTACGTGAAAATGCAAATATTATGTGACAGCAGTATCGTGGAAATTAAAATAACACGTCCCCAAACAATCAAAGGAAAAAAAATATTAAAATCAACCGGCAATGACATTACAGCCCAAGAAACTAGGGGGGGAAAAATCATAATATGTTCCTTTAAAGCTGAAAGATCGACAATATATGATTGCAATTGAGTCGGCCCAAATTAGTAACCTAAATCCTAACATATTACTTCTTTCGATATCACTATAGCTGATGAATTCTAGCACAACAAAAGGAGCATGGAAAAGGAAAACATAGCAATAGCTTCAGGTGCAAAATACAAAGCAATGAAATGGAAGCACATAGACCTCTCAATCAATCACATTTGAGTCCATGCAAGATTGTCAAAGCAAAATATACTGCAATTTCCCAAAAAGAGCAATTGGGTACACTGCACGGGCATTTTAGGAAGAACCTAACGCATTGTTTCCCGTAAATAATAATATTCAATCAGTTTCCAGAGCAAGCCACAGTAAAGGGAAGACCATCTGCAATATATTCCCCACCAGGGAGTTCTATAGGAGATAGAAACGGGCAAAAGAGAGGGATTTAAAACTGCAAATCCCTAAACAGAAAACCGTTGCTAAACATGAAAGAGGCATGACTGAAACAGAAGGAGAGTTATGATGCGTTCGGGAATCAAAAACAGAAAAAAAGAATCCGCTTTGGGCATCATAATGGGATGATAACACTATAATCGCGGAAAGCAAAAAGGTTCTTTCTCATTTGAGGGAGCGAGAGAAAGAGTGTGTTACCCGAATTGAAGAAAAGTCTCCGGTAGTTGCTGGAAAGTGAATCGTTTGGTGGGGGGAGAGAGAGAGAGGAATGGCAGGGAGCTTGGTGCTTACGGGGCGAAGAAGTCACACAGGGGATGAGAGAGAGAGAGAGACGTTGGGCTGAAGAAAGCAAGCAGATTGATGGTGCTTCGCTGTCACGTGAATGGGGAAGGAGATTGGCCCAACATCAATCAAATCAAATAAAGGATTGATTCCCATCTATTTATTTATCTAATCTAACCCACCATCCGCTTTGCTCTCTATCTCCATTAATGTTTTTTGTTTTGTTTTTTAATATCTTCATTAATGTTTTATTGTGCCATCCATATTTTAATTAATATACGAGAAAAATTTTATCTTATAAAACGAAAAAATAATTTTTTTAAGAGAAAATTGAAAAAAAAGATTTTAGAATTATAAAAATGCAGATAGGGACCCTTAACAATTTCATTTTGGGTTTTGACAAATAGTAAAGTTGTCAAGGGCCTCTATCTGCGTTTTTATAATTTTAAGGTCTTTTTTTAATGTGATTCTCTTTTTTGGAACTGATTTTTAATGTGATCTCAGATCACCCTTTTTTTTTATACACTGGCTTTGTATTTTTTTTCTTAAAGGGTTAAGACAGAAATTTGTTTTAAAAATTTTTACTCAAAAGTACAAGGTGTCCAAAAACTTTTTTGAGTTTTTTTTTAAATTTAGAATCATAATAGTTCCATCGCCTGCTATTAAAAAAATACTAATAATCAATGTTACTATTTTGAAGATAAATGTTTGTTTTTTAACAATATGGAATAAAATTGTTATAATTTTTAATTTTTGAGATAATATTAATTTAAAAAATTCTAGATACCTAATATTTTTAAGTAAAAACTTTTAGAATAAATCTATATCTTAATTTTTTCCCTTAACAAATAGAGTCGATTTTATTAATTACGGAAGAACCAATGCAACGTAATACACGGAATGTTGGCCAAAGGGGGGGAAAAAGCACACGGAAACATGCAACTTAAGCAAATCAGAAATACAACAAATACACTTATGTATATGAATAATGTCAATTGTATATGAAGAAATATTTAATAAAAAAATTAAATGTGACTTGTGAAAGTTAGTTAACATATAAAAAATTTTCTGCCTGCTGACAAAAAAAATTACAAAAGGCCAAGTTATATATATTGACTTATTAATTAATTTTTTAGTCTTGTGATTAGGGATTTCAAGGGTGTTTGGGAATTAGGAGAAATGCTTTTTAAAAATATTTTTTCACAAATCGAAATAAATTTTTCTACATATCTACTTCGTATACTGTAAAATCACTTATAAAACCATGGTTTAGTTTTCATCTAAACACCCCTTTCATATGGTAGAATTGACTATTAAAATTTAATTATTTGAGTAATAGAATAAATAATAAACTTTAAATTTTTATAATTAAATTAAATTGGATAATAAATTAATTCTTTCACTGCACTATTCTATTATACTAATATATTCACAGTATAATTTGTATAAAAAATATATTTGCATTATAATATAATGGGTATGTGAATTATGATTTAAAAAAATGTTAAAACAAGTCAAGTAGCATGAGAAGCATGAGAAGAATCACAGCAATCTTATGAAATCATAAATCAAGGGATAAAACCTTTTTTATTAAATATCTTGCATTATCATGCCAATACCTGTCAAATTATTTTATTAATTTAAAGGTAAACGTTGGTTTTTTAATAGTATGGAATAAAATTGTTATGATTTTTAATTTTTGAGATAATATTAATTTAAAAAATTTTAGATACCCAATATTTCTAAGTAAAAACTTTCAGGGTAAATGTATACCTTAATTTTTTTTCCCTTAACAAATAGAGTCAATTTTATTAATTACGGAAGAACCAGTGCAACCTAATACACGGAATGTTGGCCGAAGAGGAAAATAAAAAAAAAAAAGCACACGGAAACATAGAACTTAAGCAAATCAGAAATACAACAAATACACTTATGTATATGAATAATGTCAATTGTATATGCAGAAAATTTTCATCTGGAAATATTTAATAAAAAAAATTAAATGTGACTTGTGAAAATTAGTTAATATATAAAAAAATTTCCTGCCTGCTGACAAAAAAAAATTTATAAAAAGCCAAGTTATATACATTGACTTATTAATTAATTTTTTAGCTCCGTGATTTGGGATTTCATGGCAGAATTTGACTATTAAAATTTAATTATTTGAGTAATAGAATAAATAATAAACTTTAATTTTTTATAATTAAATTAAATTGGATAATAAATTAATTCTTTCACCGCACTATTCTATTATGCTAATATATTCACAGTATGATTTGTATAAAAAATATATATTTACATTATAATAGGTATGTGAATTATGATTAAAAAATGTTAAAACAAGTCAAGTAGCATCAGAACCATGAGAAGAATCACAGCAATCTTATGAAATCATAAATCAAAAGATAAAACCTTTTTATTAAATATCCAGCATTATCGTGCCAATACCTGTCATTGCAATATTTTTAAAGACGGCTGGGAAAAAAAAATTTAAAGGTTCTCAGCAAATAATGGTTTAATTATTATTTATATTTTCAGCAAGATTCCGTTTTATGCTTTATTTCTTCTTCTTTTTTTGTTTCTTTTAACATATTCATAAATATGTCCCTTCATGTGACCATCCCTTCGTAGTCCATGGATGTTTTTCTAATTTCCTAGACACCGACATCTCGACAAGAATACAAATATGTACGACGTGCGATAATCAAAAATATTATTAATGCAACATAACGCCATACACACACTTTTTTTTTCATTTTATTAAGATGGATATATTATTTTATCTTTTATTTATTATTTTATAGAAAATAATAATATATATAATAAATAGATATGAGGTTGGAATTTTAAGGAGAAATTAATGAGACTTTAGATTTTTTTTAACTCCAATAAAACATATTATAAGTGTTTTATAAATAGTACATTAATTTGTGAATAGTAAGAAAATTATTTATTTATAATAAATAAGTATTGTCTTTCCTAAAATATCATTGTTAATCATGCTTATCATAGAACATTTAACATATTCAATTACCATGAGGGCTACTTGAGAAAGAATAGATAAAAATAAGAAATAAAATAAATTGAAGTATTATACTAGTATTTAGAATCAAATTAAATTTCTAATTAACTCCTATATTAAGTATTAATGTTGAATTAGAGAAGGATATATATATCTTCTTTCTGATTCTTATTATAAGATATTTTTAACCATCTCACTGAAAATAATGGTTTATAATTTATTTCTTTCTTTTTACGTTTTTTTTTTTAAATTTCGTTGCTTCGTGTGTAATTCCTTCACAGTCCATAATGGTTTTCTACTTTCGTAGCCACTGACATTTCGACAAGAATACAAATATGTACGACGTGCGATAATCACCTTCAATATCAGAAATTGTTAATGCAATCTAATGCCGTATACACACGCTGTCTCTCTCTCTTTTTTCTTTTTCTTTTTTTTAAATTAAGATAGATCTTTATTTGGTATTGTGTAGATTATTATTTTCTTTGAAAATAATAATATATAATAAATAGATATAAAGTTCAAAAACTATTGAATTTTAAGGAAAAATCAATGAGACTTTAGATTTATTTTAATTCCAATAAAACATATTATAAGTGATTTATAAATAGTATGTTAATTTGTGAATATTAAAAAAACTAGCTAAATTAGTTATTTGTAATAAATAGGTATTATTTTTACTGAAATATTATCATTAATCATGTGTATTGAAATCACTTTATCATGAAACATTTAACACATTCAGTGATTACTTTTGAAAATAATAGATAAAAATAAGAAAGAAAATAGATTGAAGTATTATATGAATATTCAGGATCAAATTGAATTTTTAATTAGCTTTTATATTAGTATCGGAGAAAGATATTTAACTAGCTTATTTATCATATTTATCAATTTTTTCTAAATTATTTTTATGGATACTCCCTTAACCTAGAAAAGGAAGAAAGGATATTAAGGAAGATGAGTACGATGGTTTAGAAAAAATATGTCATATTTCTTATAATTAACTAACTTACCTAACTTCCTTAATATAATCAAATTAGTTAAATAAGTCATATATTAAGGATCGGAGGAGTACATATATAAATACAGCTTCTTTTTTATTCTTATCATAAGATATTTTTAACCATCTCACTGAAAATAATGGTTTATGATTTATTTCTTTCTTTTCTGATTTTTTTTTTTTTAAATTACGTTCCTTCATGTATAATTCCTTCATGCATGGTTCATAATGGTTTTCTAATTTCGTAGCCACCCACGCCTCGACAAAAATAGATAAATGACCGTACGGTTATTAACCTCTTTTTTTTTTAAAAAAAAAAAAAGCAACGTACGATCATAATCATTAACCTCAACAACAAAAATTATTAATGATACTGCAACCCAACGCTACACTGATATTGTGTGCGTGTGTGTGTTGTTTTTCGTTTTCTGTTTCAGATTTAAATTATAGAATATAAATGAACGGTGAAGAGGGTCCTACATAAAATGATAAAATATACAAGTATGCTTTTACCCTTTTAATTTTATATAAGTTCTGATGTGATTTTTTAACTTTAAAAAAATATATTTTTAGTAAAAGAATTAAACTGAAATATTATATAAAGTTAAATGACTAAACATATATTTTTAGCTAAATATATAAGACCAAATTTCAACTGATGATCATGATCAACACGCTTGACCCATAGAATGCCACAAGAGAGAGTTTCAGATATAATTTTCCCTTTTGTAGAATTTAGATATCGTTTGTTTTTTTTAACGATATCAAAGTTTTCTCTTCTTGGTTATCATATTTAAGCTTTGAATCTTCTGTAGGAAATATATTAACTACGTGAGTTATGATAAAAAGAAAGGTTAAGACAGGACCAACGCTACAACATGGGAATTTTTTTTTTTTCAAAGTTTAATGTCTTCCCAAAAGTTTTAAAACATAACAACTAGTAATGTTGTTCCATCTAGTGGCTATTAAATTATTAATATTGACCGTTAATATTTTTAACAGTAAGGAATGATATTGCTTAATTTTAACACTTCTGAAGTAATTTTAAATCCAAATAAACATCTTAAACAATATTGTTACAACTAAGTGAAGATTTGACCAATTTATAAATTAATCCTAATATAGTAAAGCTTAAAATTTTGAAATTTTAATGGTTTATGGTTTGGCACCTAGTGGAAAATGAAGGATTAATGACATCGTGAGATGGAATGGAAAAAATTATGTTTGACGGTATGAATGTATGATTATATTTGGGATTAATATGATTTTTTTGTTCTTTAAGTTTGTCTCCATTTTAGTTATGATTTTTCTAATTTCAAATTATAGGTTTGATTGTATAAAATTCATTAAAAAAAAAAGGAAACGGAGAAGAGAAAAGAAAATACCCCTCCCAACTTAAAGAAGAGAAAAACTATATTTAGTGAATAAAATTATATTTTTTGGCCAAAAAAATTATATTCAATTCGTAATTTAATTGTTAAAATTTAAGATATATTATGTCTTGGTATATCCATATAACTTATGGAATTTTTAGTAAATACTTAACGTCAATATTTTATTGAATGTCAACAATGTAACTTGATCATTGTTGAATTATTTTATAAATGTGAGTATTTGAGAGAGATCAATATTAATTTAAAAAAAAAAAGATAAAAATAGTACAATTACATAGTTCACCTGATTAAATAAAAATAGTATATATTAAAGCTTTTATAATGGTATCAGTGAGGCCATATTGTGCAATTTATTGTGTTCACCATATTTCATTTATTACCTCCTTATGTATGCCCGGCCAATATGTAGATGAGGGGTATGGCCGATGGCCTGCTCTTTTAAATACGGGTATATATATGTTTATATTTATAAATGTTTTATGTATAATATTAATTAAATTTAGACCAAATCATGTTATTTCTATTTTATACATTTATGTAGAACTAAGTATTACCAAATAAAATTTGAACATTGTCGAATGGTTGGATCAAAACTAATATGCAAGTCCTAGTGAAAAAAAAAAAAACTAATAGGGAAGTGAGACTAATTAAACTTGTAATACTCCTCCAGTCCTTAATATAGGACCTAATTGCTGAGTTGGTTTTGATCCTAAATATAAAAATCATTTATTATATTTATT